GGGGGAGTAATCTTTTTCAAAAAGGGAAGGGAATGTTAAAATTATCCAAAAAAGGAGAAAATTACTTATAAATTAGCCTAGTTATCAAAATTTTTTACACTTCTGATTCTTCACGGTGCACTTAGGTAAAATGCTAGCTTCACTCTTAATTATAATTTTAAGACTAAATTTCACGACCTCTAACACCATTTGAATTAATATTTAAATAAAAAAAAGCGTAACCCTTTTTTGGCCTATAAATAGTTTAAATGTATAATGTAAGCGACAAAGTTTGTATATACGCCTTAATAGACAAATAAATTTTAGTAGCAAATTAAATTGAGCAAAAATATATTTAAAAAAGAGGTTAAAGAACAAGGAGTTTACTCAACTACTAAATTTTGTAACAAAAAATAAAGCCCTTTCTAAGAGGTCCAGAAATTAGTTAAAATATAACAAAAGCTGCATACAAAACGACATTCAGAACGCAAATGTATTTTTCACTTATGGCAAGTATTTTTAATAAGTAATAATATTTTCCTATTACTGCCTTAGAAATGCACGAGTCTCTTTCAAGTAGAAATAAAATTTAAGACAACTTTAACAAGAGTGCAGTGTTGCCATTATCCAACTCAGGATTTCCTACTTCAAATGAAAATGTTCAAACTGAATCTTATGAATCCTCCAAGCTCAATATTGTAAAAAAAATATATTCTGAGTACTAACTTAATAGCAACAAATACCTCTATATCACAGTGCCAACAGTTAAAAAATATATATCTTTATATACAAACTAATAGTTATACAACCATAGTGAACTAAACCATATGATAGAGCAGATTGAGCTGGTTTTAATAATAGACAAGAATGTACATTTTACAAGTTCGATGAATTGTTACCAAGTTAAAAAAAAAAAGCAATCACCATAGACAGTATAATCGCAGTTTGTTCACACGTTTGAAATAATTGGAAAGGTATAATTTCTAGTCATTAATTAAAGTTTTATTTAATTATAAACATTTTGTTTGTACAGCAATACGGTGTTAGTATTAAAATAAATGATTATTATCTGACATTGATTTAATTAGGTTTTATATGTAATTTTTTTTCTGATTTAATTTATTATTTGATTCAATTTAAATGAACTAACACCATGTTGTTTAAGTAAGCGTTTTAAAATAAGCTCAAGGATGTGCTTTTAGTAGATATTAGACTAATATAAAATTAGTTTACTGTGGAAATAATATGTTCATAGACCATTTATATGTCTAGATTGAGTGTCGCACTACAAAACACCTTACAAACAATTTAGTGGCCATCCGTTGGCCTTCAAAGTCTATTTAGACATCAAAGATGTAAGAATATTGCTGTCAATAGGGGTGCCAGTAGCGGCTTAAGCCATTGAGAGTCCCCGGGCGGGTAGATCATTGCGAGGCCCCGGTCTCAAGATCGGGTAATCATTGCATGGCTCCGGGCAGGAGATCTTTGCTAGGCCGCGGGTGGATAAATCATTGCGAGGCCCCGGGCAGGATATCATTGCAAGGCCCCGGGCGAATAGATCATTGTGAGGCCCTTGTCTCTATGGAATTAGTTTGTTTTAATGATGATACTTGAAAAAAATGATGCAACGCAACACATACTGCTGCTCGAACATAAAAGCATAAGCCGACGACAGTCGACACTGGGAGCCTGTCAAAATGACACGGGGAATCCCCGTTGTTGCGCGAGTGCGAGAAGTTCTGGGCGGTCGCCCTACTCGCTATCCCGAAAGGCCACCCCTGGCGGGCACTTATAATACATGGGAATGAGAAAATTAGAAGTACAATAAAGTTACCTAATGGTAGTATGGAGGAACGAGTGTCATGTCCCTCCAAAACAAAGGGAGTAACCTCCGACCAGGCGTGGTAATCATGCATGGCGGGTCGCGGGTATGCTATACTTATACTAATCGGGGTGAGTACCTACTTTTTATATCGCGACACAGGGTTAGCAGTTACTCCGTAGTTTGGTTTGTCTTCGTTAGATAGCACTGAATTTTTGTTTCACTATAATATCGAGAAGACGCCACAGTGGGATATGTTACATCCCTTAAATTGCTTATTCGGATGGACTGGGAGGGTAAGCAAACAGTCGACGCCATATTGCTCTGTGGTCATGACGTCAGTGGGCTGTGTAAACAAATGCGATCAGTTCACCGTTGACACTGACTCGGTTTGTTTACCCAGCCGTATGACGTAATAATATGGTGACTACTTTTTCATGCTGTTAAAATAACATATTAAAAAACTGAAAACTTTAATTTTAATAATTATTTTGTTATTTTATGAACTAAAACTACAATTTTCCGAATTCTTTTTAAGTAGGCCATCTCAATTATATACTTTTAGATTTTTCAAGAGAGAGTAAAGACCCTATTATAATAGAAAAATGATTTTTATATAAGCATATGTTTCCACAGTAAATAAAAATTAACATTTAATATTAGAAGGACCATATTAAGAGTGCCATATCAATTAGGAGATTGTTACATTTTGAATAATACACCGTTTTGGAAAAATATATATTATTGTTTGATTTCTTTTACACAATATCATTAATAATAATTAAGGACGGGATAATCATTTTAATAAAAATATAGGAGTCTTACAGAATAGTGACAATATTAGTACCTGATGGTACTTGGTGAAATAAAAATACCAAAAATGTGTGGGTAGATGGAGAAACTTTTACCTTACGGACGCGACGATAAAGGGCGTGCACCGCTGAGCCAGACCCTCTGTGGGCCACACTCGACCGAAGCGATCCCACGATCTCAGAGGACACCGATGTTTTTTTTCGATGCTTTTAATCGAGTGGGGTATCGAAATTTTAAGATACATTTTCAAGCTGACGGATTTTGTTTTCAATAATTTGCTTGTTATCATACTCTAGTATATACTTTAAAACAATAATAAAATATAAACATAGCAGTTCATGTAGAAACCCCCCACCCCTTTCCTCCCTTCTCGCTTCTCACCCTTAGGTCAATAATAGTCAGGAACAGGAGCGCAAGCGATCTTGACAAAGTCTTCATAGTGAACTGTGGAGTTGTTTCCAACGTTGGCCTCTCTGAAAATGTTGTCCACCTGTGAGCAAAGTTGGGCATTAAACAATTAAACATTCAGCCGCAGTGTGTAGTGGTAGCGTATGCAACTGCTGTGGTAAGGTCTCGGGTTCTATTCCCGGGTCGGACCAAATGTTTGAGTTGTTCTGTCTCTGGATATAACACATCTATAATATGTATTTGTTTAGAAATATGTATATATAAGTAACTTTAGTTGTGGATAAGAGAAAAAATGAAAAACAGGGTAGATACATAACTCATGTTCCTATTGTGCACTCAAAAAATAAATAAAACAAGATTCAGTACTAACTTCTCTAGCTGACAATCCTTCACCCCAGTTCTGCAGCAGATTCCTGAGCTGTCGGGCTGGTATCACACCACTCTTCTCAGCATCTCCTGCTTTGAATGCATTTACAACCTGCAAAAACCAAAGTGGAGTGTCAGGGTGAAGTAGTGACAAACCTGGGCTTCAATTCTGCTAATTTATGTAAACATACAAGCCACTATCAGTCCATTGAGATGCCATTGACATCGGTCAAAATATCGGTATTCTACTAATATAAATTCAGTGTCAATAGACTGTCGACGTCAACAACATTGTCATGTCTGGAAATTCAAAATTACAAAGACATCGATTTTTTTTCGAATGCAGTTCAGTGACAAGTCATCGGGTATTGGCTATTGGTCTTACATAGCTAGTAGAATACAAAAGTGCAAAACTATTGAAATGAAATGATTTTTTGCAAGTAAATCTTTTCAGATATTTTTACAAGTTGGACTTTACAGCTAGAAGGCACCGGCATTTCCTAAGACTCAGTCTGGGAAGGAACGCCGAAACAAACCTTAGAGATGTCTTTTTTTTTAAAGTCCGTGTACAATGTTAAAGAGAACGTGTAAGTGCAGTATAGGGTTTGGGTTGGCCCGTCCATACAGACGGCATACGGGCCCCAGTCGGCGTGTAGCCTAACCGATTTAGTCAGGATCAACAACCCGGAACACATTGGGGAGTGTAGACTCGAACTGGTAATTTCTGGGATGTTCAGACCCTCTAACTATATAGGAATGATAGCATCAACGCTGATCTTGATCCGTGTGGTGACGGATTAAGAAATCTACTACTCCGTTCGACGGAGAAAAGAACACTGAAAAGATCATATAGTGTAAGACTGGTTAGGCATAGACAAGAAAACATATATTTACCTCATTAGGCAGGTTCTCAGCTCTTGAGTGTATGTGCATCACCTCCAAAAAGTCCGCGAATGACATTTTGCCACCTTTGCCTTTCAGGTAACCTATAAACAATAATGAATATTTATTTTGTACTACCTTTAAACTACAAACTAACAACTATAGTCCGATGCAAACTTAATAGCGGCTCTGAAGTTAGCTGTGCACACAGGTCTGTGCAAGTACCTACAGTTAATTCGACTCGACTGTATGTACAAATGAATATGTATGTGTGCAGGGTACGGACACACTAAAAGGCATGCGTGTCGTGTGTCGCCCTGACCCCGCTCCTTTACGTATCGCTGTTGTCTATTATTGTGTTCAAAACGCGCGTTTGTTCCGAGCCGCCATTAAGTTGGCATCGGACTGTACCAGTCTCTCACATTAGTTTTGGGTACTATTTTGTATACTTGTTTTATTTATTATTATTGTAACTTAATTAATTGTGAAGAGAAAAATATAAATTAATGAACATATGAATATACCTACTTATTGCAATTATTTTATTAAAAGAGATTTAAAAAAAAGAGTTTGTGACTTTCAGCTCAACTGGAAGCCCGAAGGAGCTCTTAGATTCGAGTATAAACTGTTCAACAATTATTTTAAAAAAATAACTTTAGAGTACCCCATAGACCACGCAAACCTATAACACTCCTCGCCATACAGTGTTTGGTGATAACTCGCCTATCCTCCGCATGTGCAAACTAATAAACGAACTAGCTGATACCCGCGACTTCGTTCGCGTAAAATTTGAAAAGCGCTGCCTTAATCGGTTCGATGTCCGGACCAGGCAAAATTTTAAAGGGTTTTTCTGAAAGGAAAAATAGCCTAAGTTTATCCTTATGTAGACAGCTACCTGGTAGTAAAATATTATCGAAATCTGTCCAGCCGTTAAGTAGATTACCCGGACAAATACAGATAAAAAAAACTGGTTTGTAGGCATAGGTATCGTGCCGTGAGAGCACGAAAAAAACCTATAATTTTGACATTACAGACACTTCAATTTTATATATTTGTTTATATGTAGTAGCCTGGTTGATGTCCTCTCTCATTCAATATGGACTGTTGTCAGACACGTCGAACGTATGAAAATCTAATAATTAGTAATTAGCATTTGATATATTTTCTAGAATTAAAGTCAAATAAATAAGTTTTAAAATTATGTACCATAATATGTTGATACAAAGAACACGTTGCTTGTGGTGTTTGCCTATAACTGGTTGTGGAGTTAGATTTAAGAAACAAATACTTGAATACTTAGGCCTCTAGAGGCCCAAGCTCGGCGTTGCGAATGGTGCAGATTTCAGTGCGTGCCAATCAATCGCGCCGAACGCGGTCAAAGTGACGACCGAATAGATGTGAAGTAACCTCACACGGGTCTAAAAACTTCCCCCTAGCGAGAGTGTTGCTTTTCAGTGAGAGAAAGAGAAGTTCAACCTCCTCTTTCCCGTTACAGATGTCTATGGGCAGCCATAGTAGCTTACCATCTAATAACACATGTGCATGTTGCCCCTATCCCTTTTTAATTTAGTCAATGTCCAAACAAGTGAACTATGCAGGACAACAGCACTGCAAAAAGAAGGAAGACTTAAAACAAACCCTATACCAACCCGTCTGGCCAGCATTGTTTAGTAGGCCAAAAGCTCCCTTTTAAAGAGCGCCCTATGTCCAGTAGTGGACTATTAAAGGCTGTCCAATGTGAAGATGATAGTGTGACCAATTAAATTTCGGCAACTTTATGGATTAAATCATTTCTGCATGTATACCTGCTAATTCTTGGATAGTCGGACTCATTCCAAGAGAGCGCATGACCACTGTCAACTCATCCAGTGATGTAATTTGCCCTGATCGGGCAAATAAGTAAAAACATTCACGGAATTCTGGAAAAGACAAAAATATTTTTTTTTCTTTACAATTCATTTTTTTTTTCAAAACTGTTATACGAATTATATTATATACTAATAATGAGGGAAAAGTCTTTAAAAAAAAACTAAGGTATGAAACGCTCATAGCGTAAATTGCAAAACAGAGCACTGTATATTAATATCACATACACAATAAGTATGTTTATCAGCAGTCTGTTTACCATAGTACAGGCTCTGCCTAGTTTAGGACCAGACTGCGTCTGTAATATGTGTAAATATTACTTATATTTTCAATTATAAACTTAAAACGAAATTGTAGAAAGTACAGTTAGTTGTGACACTTTGTTATTAATGTAGTGTAAAAGTACCATTGTCCGTATTCACAGCGTAAAACATCACTTAAAGCCGATTAGCCGATAAAGTTAATCGTATTATTCATAGTTAGTAATAGTTATACGTTGATTTATATCAATATAAAGAGTAGATAAGCAATCTTACCATCAATATCTTGCTCTTTGAAATACCGCGCCTGTAATGTAACAATCAGTTATTAGTTAACATAAAAACACAACTTTATAACACTAATTTTAATAAATACATAAGAATACCATTTTATTTTATATGGAAAAGCTAAATTTAATGAATAAAAGTTTGTAAATTAACAGTACAGGTGAAGTTCACTTGTTGACATCACCTGCGGTGACAGTTGGTATAATGTTGCCAGCTCTTGAACTAATTTTCTTGTTGGAACATTTAGAAACCATTTTTCATCTCAAGGTAAACTGTAAGGAACACGCACAAACATAACATAGCAAAGTCTTGCATATTTCTTTCTTGATCTTGTTTTTAAAAGACAACTCCCGCGTTAAGATTTTTTTCTGTGTCACGCGCAGGGAAACGGACATAAAGAAAACCCAGACTCAGAACAAATTAATGGGTCACACAATGCTTTATCCCATGTGGGGATCGAAACCACAACACTTTGCGTAATAAGAAGAGGTCAGTCTTGCGTCAAAGTGAAGTACTCTTTTTGTCACATAATTTGGACACCACTTTATTATGATGCCAATGAATGATCAGATATTTCTACTGAGTAGGTAGGGTATGGGTATGGGTCTGGGTAGACAGATATTACTTAACTCGTTCCTGAGACTGATATTATTGCCGGTGTGCTCATAGTACAATAAAATAGTGTGTTGTGTTTACAAGTTATAGTAAAAATGAACTAAAATGCCTCATATCCAAAATGTAATTGGTTACAATCTGTAATGCAACATGGACGTCACATCAGCTGACATTACTGAAGACATATTTTTCCATGGCGATGTTAACATAATTGAGCGAATTATTACATAAAACGTATTTGAAAATAGTTTTCAGTGTTCCACACAATATTACAGTGACTAATTAGCCTATAAGAGCTATGGATATTGAGACACCCATTACGTGAGTAATAACATGATTAACAGATATATGATTTTAATTTATGCTAATTTTAATGTTACCTTGCACTTAACATTGATAAGATACAACTACAATAAACGTTTTTAGGCTTAAAGAAACTTTTGTGAAAGAATAGTTTATTACAGGTATAGTCTTAATGTATTTTCTTATTAGACGGGGGGTACGTCGATACGGTATTTGTCAAACTTTTTAAAGGGGAATAGCTGGGTTAATATGGATAATCTGCCGGCGCGGCTTTTTTGACTCGCACTTAGAGGATCGATTTGTTGTCGATTAAAAGTAATTTACCTAAATTTTTAGCTCTAACTCAAACGATTTTCGAGATTTTCAAAAAAACCTGTTTTTTCGATTATATTTTTATTTTTCTTGTAAAATTCAAAATTAATCAATGATCAAAATGATCATTGATTAATTTTTCCTAATTCTATGAAAAAATTCTTGAATCAACATTAAGTCTCAATGATCTACTGATTGAGCAGTTTTATTGAGCAGTATTTAGCAAATATTTTTTTAGTTTAGTTCTGTTTATATTTTGAATAAAAATATGTCCACGTCGCCTATGCAAGAATGTAAATGTCATCCAAGCATTTGTAAACTAGACATAAAACGTAGAAATAGTCTCATTATAAATGTACTGAAATGATTAATGGGTTAATTGTAATTTAATATGTACAATCACATCAACAATGAAGGCTAGTTTATTGCTGGGTAACCTAAACAAGCAAAACTTCAGAAGAAATGATTGCTGGTTACTGAAAATCCCGGCGTTAGCTTGAGTTATGAGTTTTTAATTTTTTTCATATTGTTCCACCACATCAAAAAATTTAGTGACATTTCAAAAAGTCTAAAAAAATAGACTAATTTTCTTTTTTCTGCAAAAAAACAGCAATTTGGTTAAATATCATGATCATATAATTTTGTGATGATCATATAAATTTCATGATCACAAAATATAAAACTTCTGGGTTCCTTGTTGAGGCGCCTAGAAGTTTTACCAGGCAAAATCACTTGTTAGAATTCCCTCCAAAAACACACAAGAAAAAAAAAAATGCATAATTAGGCTGCTTATCTGAATAGCCAGTATTAACATTGAGTAAAAATCTGATTTGCTTCAATTATCAGTTTCATCTGTCATAATGTTACTTTAAGATACTTTTTGTCCTACCCACATATAATCTCCAAATTCTGTACTAAACTCAAGTGGTTTCCTAGTCACCTGAGCCAGAATACTCTCTCTTTACTTATCAATACAATATCTTATTTAACCTTGCTACTCCTATCTCAAGAAATGTTTCAAATTTATGCAAATTTGCTGTATGCAGACAATTTAAAGATATGTGCCTAATACCTATTCATCATCAACAGCATTTAATAGTCCACTGCTGGACATAGGCCTCTCCTTAGAACGGAAGTTTTGGCCTTCTATACCACGCTGGCCAGATGGGTTGGTAAAGGGTTTGTGACAAGTTTTCCTTCTTTTTGAAGTGATGGTATACTGCATTGTTTTGCACCCTAAGTCAGCTCTTACGACACCCGCGGGATGAATTGGGGTAGTGACATTCTGTACTACACTATACGGACATAAAACCTATTGTTAGTGGGTAAAGTCCCGTAAATATAATTAGATACTTAAGATCATCAGAAAATCTAACATATATGGCATGGAAATAGTTTTAGTTATTTTTTTTAAATTAATACCGATTCACACAAGAATAATCTACTATTCATACCAATTTTATAGATGCGGATGTGTGTCTGCTGTTACCCTCTTCATGCTTAAACCGCTGAACCAATTAATATGAAATTTGATACAGAGATAGTCCAAGTCCCGAGAAAGGCCATACGGTAGTTTTATCCCAGAAATCATACTTTAAGGGGGTGGAAGTTTGTGTAGGAAATCAAGAACCGCTGAAACGATTTAGGTGTTATTTAGGAAGGAGCTACTTTAATTCTTGAAGAAAGACGGAAGTTTTAGTCGCAGGTGTGTGTGCGAGTGTGTGTGAGTGTGTGTGTATGCGTGCGTGTGCGTGTCTGTGTCTGTGTGCGTGAGCGTGTGTGTATGTGACAGTGATATTTTTGTGTGAAGTTTGTGTCACTTAACAATAGTGATAAGTGATTCTGTGTCTGTATATGATAGTTAAATTAAATAAGTGTGGATAGCAAATTTACACATATGTCATTTTGGAGAAAATATTTTATATTGTGTTCAACTTATTGTAAAAATATGGTGCAAGAAAGAGATTTTGTCGTCTAGAGCGAACTTTGCTGATTTTGCCATTTTGAAGAACTTCCCATTACTCAAACTATGACAGCATATACTAACTTTAATTATTACAAAAAAAAAACGGGTATTAGCGCTATTAGTAGGTACTACATACCTTTTAATTTCGTTTCGATCAGTTTGCATAGGCCGACGTGACAGGTAGACTCTTGCTAAAGACAAGTACAAAGAAAATTATAGAACTGTATAAAAGTCTATCAAGGGCTTAATAAATATTTAAGAGTATCTTAAACAGAGGACAATGCAAAAAAAGTAAAACCTACAATTCATAATAAAATATTCTTATGAACCTTGGGTCGTTGGGGTCGGCTTTAAGTCTACTATGATACGGCTGAACTTTGATTGTCTTTACGTGGAGCGACTGCCATCAGACCTTCACAACCCGAGTACTAGGCGATATCGAAAGACTGCTGTCGGACTTTCTAGGGGTCGAGCTACCCGTAACGCTTAGCTTAATGTGCTCTCCGAGGTACGGCTCTACAATTTATAAAATATGACCACTTATCAGTTGCTGTCAGACGTCTCTGCAATCACAAAACGGACATATGTTCAGTCACGTTTTCCATTCGAGATTTGTGGCAGCTTATCCTAGCTATCTCGATCTATCCATAGTCTTTGCTCCAAATGCCATTTTTTTCCTTTGTCTCGTCTGAAAACGAGGATTACATTCCCAAGGAAGGCTTACTGACTATCAAAGAAACTCAGACGAAACTCTTAGCAATGATGCTCTGATCTGACCCCAAGATTTGCAGAAGGGCAAGATAAAGATATGGTTGAGATATTATGTACATTTTAGGTATCTGAATATCTGATGAGATTTAAATTCTACCACAAATGAATACCCAAAGCAATTATCAAATTAATTTATTTTTACATGTATACTACAATAGTGTGTTGGTTTTTACATTCCCACGAAATGATGTACCTACGTATATAAAATATATGAAAGTCCCACACTCTGTTTGCCTGTGTTTTTGAACGCGACAAACTCGAAAAGTGAGGGTTGGGTTTAGGTGTATTATTTATTTAGAAGTTATATAAATTTAATAAAAAAATGTGAAGACATTGTTGAGGGTGGTGAAAAAAATCAAGCTAACTGAAATTTTTACTGGACTGGGATTTTTACAATTCCCAATTCCATTAGAGTTAAATTAAAACATTATATCACAGATTTATTTATATTAAAAATATATATTACTGTACACAATTAACATATTATTATATATAATTAAAAAAAATAGCCCCTTCTTCAAATAACCCATGCGAAGCAGAGCTGTTTGCTAATAAGAAAATAAAACTGATTACAAATCTTATAATGCTATTGTTTTTATGCATTTTTTTGGTCTATTTTACGTTTTTACGTCATTTTGGTTTCCAACAAGGCCTTTCAAACACATCTCTATAGAGCAGGTTTGTTATTTTGCTCATGTCACTCATAATATATTTTTCGCTTTAATTTATTAGCCTTAAACATTTATAAGTTCTGCAGATAATGCCATATAAACAAACAGTTTTGTGTAATATATATATTACTTAGATAAGCCACGACGGAGGGAGTGCTACAGGGCTCTGTCCTTGGTCCTTATCTTGTCATAATTAATCATCTCTGAAAATAGATATTAACGAAATTGAGTGAACTTTATTAGAATATTAGTATACAAACTAATATTATTTACAATTAAAATAAAAACTTTTGGAAGTGATATTCATATTAATAAAGGATATAAGGACGTTTATACTTACGTGTAGTTTTAGTCCTAACGGGGGTCCTGTTTTAAGGAGTGAAGAGTCCTGGCGTCATACCATATGGCGTGAGTGATATCCATGTTTATAATAATATCTTAACACTGAGGTTCACATGCCAAAGTGTGCGTTTGGTGCTGTGTAAAGGGGTATGGTGTTGATGAGCATTTTGATTTAATTGGTTTGACGTATATTAAATAATAATAGTTATAATAACAGACATCTCACACACGGCCGTCTGATCCCAAACTATGCAGTAAAGACCTTCAAATCTTCAAGAAAAGAGCGTACTCCTTCCTAAAAGGCCGGCAACGCATTTGTGACTCCTGAGTTGCAGACGTTCATGGTCGGCGATGGTCACTTTCCATCAGGTGACTCGTCTGCTCGTCTGCCCCCTCTAACATTAAAAAAAGCCTGTACTATGGTACACAGATTGCTGATAAACAAACTTAAATATTTCTAAATACATATATGTTATACATAAATTACACTCAGTCACAGAACAACTCATCATGCTTATCGTACAAAATTTGTCCTAGGTGGGAATCGAAGCCTGACTTAGCGGTCAGGATCACTAATCACTATACCACACACTCAAATTATTAGACATGGTAATTATTGCGACTTTTAAATCATGTCATTTGATGAAATGATTGGTTTTAGTCACAGCGATTTCAGATGTGTTTGTGATTTCGTCATAGACATAGATAAGTGGCATTAAAATCAATCAAAATTCTTTTTATCATAGAGTACGACCTTTTTTTTTAGATTTAGAGCCTTTCGATGGTCTTGCGCTAATAATAATTAAGTAGCAGTGGTTTTATAACTCATTCACATATGACGATATGATTCGTAAATCATATGGTTTATCACATGTGATTGTGATTTTATGCCATCCCTACTAGGAGAGGCCTAGGTCCAGCAGTGGACTATTAAATATTGTTGATGTGATGTGTGTGAAAGTTTGTGAGTGTGTGTGTGTTTGTATGTTTTTCTTCTTCGTACAAATGATGAGCAAAGAATTAAAATGTATCTGACAAACCGTGGGGCTCACCTAGTCTGATAAATATGAATATAGCTCATGAAAATTTTAAATAAAGTATTTGAGTAGTCTCTAAATATAATAATATTTTTTTGCGGACATCTGGCACACAACGCCATCTAGTTTCAAACTAAGTAGATCTTGAACTATGAAAGCTAGATTGACTGAAAGAATACTTAGATACTTTTTTTATGTAAAGATATACATAGTCCGACCCGGGAATCGAACCCGAGACTTCAGCACAGCAGTCGTATATACCAGTTCTATATTATTTTATATCTTTTTCAGGATCCGTGCACCAGTACCTGAAGCTATTTCATAGAAACCATGGAAGAACCTATATACGGGTTAAAAAGCATACGTTTTCACGCAAATAAAATAACTTAATAATATAGAAAAAGTAAAAAAAAAACTTTAAACAGAAAAAAAATTAGAGTCGTCTCTTTTTCTGTAACTAATAGTGAAATTAAGTAATAAAACAATTATATTAAATATATTTATTATTAAACTAATTTATTATTCGTTATTAATGTTATACAATTTTAGTTGACACAATTCCATTTTTTAATCTGTATTCTGAATACAAATAAAAAAGTTTTAGAAACTTTGAATATAAAATATATTATTTTTAAAACTGTTAATGGTTACCAAAGAGTGTATATATCTTAGATAAAGTTAGAAATAGATGACATTGTATGTATGGGAAAGAGTGGAGAGACTTAGAGGGAGAATTTGTTGGACAAAAGTCAAAAATGGCTGCAACAATGGTAGAAACTCCGCCACCTCAGCTGATCACCAATATTGAGTGGGAAATGATGGACAAAAGCAAATTTTTTCCGCTGTACACACTAAGCAGTTTCACAGGTAAGGTTTGTTTTTTTTCTATGACCTAGACGAATTTTTTTTTATTGATTTCTTTCTCTATACCAAATTTCGCGAAAGGCCTAAATCTAAGAAAAAAGGTCGTAATTTTTGATAAAAAGAATAGGTTTGTGTCCACTAATAACAAATTGCTTGGTTTATAGTTTCAAATTGGCAATTAAGGAACATAGATAAGAAAAACCAGTCTATTTCTCATAAAAGTTAAAAATTTTAATATTTTAACAAATAAATTCGAACTAAATAGGCATTAGTCACGGGACAGCGAACACCAATCAGAAACGTTACGTCACGCCACGCAAAACATCATTGTTGTTGTTGACGTTTTCATACAACAGAGCAGGTTACTCCTTATTGTTTTTCGTTTTTAGCATATTTTCTCACCTTAATACAGTTTATTTACGCAGTGTGACGCCATCGAGACGTCATGACACTATTCAGTGTTTTCAAGTTTTTTTAAATACAAAATACGTAATGTAAATATTGTTTTTTTTTAAAGTCTTAGTAGTATTAGTCAACTAGCCTATTTTGATTGATTTTAATGCAATTTATCTTTGTCTATGAGGAAATCCGAGGTTAACATGAGGTTATTTTATAGATATTAATATTATAAAGATAAAAATAACTAAATGTGTGTATCTATATTGGTTTAGGGTACTTTGCACCAAATGTGCATGATATGTAAATAAATAATCTGATATCTTGTTGTTACAGTGAGATGCGCACTATACCCCCTGACATTAATAAAAACTCAAATCCAAGTCCAGCGGAAGAGAGACGCTTACAAGGGTATTACTGATGCATTCACGAAAATATACGCCAACGAAGGAGTATCAGGACTTTACAGAGGATTCTGGCTGTCTAGTGTGAGTATGTCATTTTTAATCAGTGGACTGTCTGGGGTACCGTTTCAACGAGCTCACGGTAAAGTCGTTGTGTTAGAATTGAATTGTTACTTGACTGATGTTGGTCTAGTTGTTAGCGATGTTGACTGTTGAGCCAGGGGTCGTGGGTTTGATTCCCACCCAGGACGAAATGTATTGTGTGATGAACGCAATCATTTGTTCTGTCTGAGTGTAATTTATCTATAATATGTATTTAGAAATATATAAGTAAGTTTATTTAGAAATAAATAGGACTAAAATTACAATCGATTAAATGTGGGCTTTTAATATACCCCTGCTTACCCCTTAAGGGATAAAAGTCGTGAGTGTATAAACTAGCTTTTGCACGCGGCTCGGCCCGCGTAATGTCAATTATCGCGGTAAAAAGTAGCCTATGTCTTTCCTCAAGAAGCAAAGTATCTTCCATATCAAATTTCATCGAAATCGGTTCAGCGGTTATGGATTCCCCATACAAACCTCCTACCCCTTAAAGGATGTTTTCTGGGATACCTTTTCACGCTTTTACCACTGAACTTTAGTTTTTATTCTATAAATTATACTTTAAGGGGTTGAAAAGGGGGGTGGAACTTGGTATAAGAATTCAAGAACCACTTAGCCGATTTAGGTGAAATTTAGTATGAAGATACTTTGATTCCTGAGGAAAGACATATGCTACTGTTTAAAAGCTAGTTTGTATATATATATAAATATAGATAAACAAATATAATAATATTGTTTTATTTTTGGTCCAGTTTCAGATAATCTCTGGCATATTTTACATCTCCACATACGAGGGCGTGAGACACGAACTTGGCAAATACGATGTCAGCCCCAAAATGAAGGTAATTTATTTATTGTTTTATTTTAACCGTGGCAACCCTGCACGGGTGGTGACGAATAAGAATACAGAGTGTCACCACCCCTATTCATCCCGTGGGTGTCGTAAGAGACGACTAAGGGAGCAAACTACGCAGGACAACAGCACTGCAGAGAGAAGGAAAACTTGACACAAACCCTATACCAACCCGTCTGGCCAGCGTGGTATTGTAGGCCAAAACCTCCTTTCTCAGGAGAGGCTTATGTCCAGTAGTGAACTGTTAAAGGCTGTTGATGATGATAATATAATATAATATTGTACAGCATTCACACAACGCCATCTAGTCCCAAACTAAGCAGAGCTTGTACTATGGCTACTAGACAACTGATATAAATACATATATACTTTTTTTTTGTAAATACATACATATTATACATAGAAACACCCAGACTAAATCAAATATTAAATGTTCATGCACACAAATGTTTGACTTGAGCGGGAATCGAACCCGCGACCTTTGGAATAGCAGTCCGTTACACAAATCACTACGCCACCCGGTCGTCATATATCGGTCGAAATAAGCTCACACTTGGATCTCTGAACTGTCTGACCAGCGAAGACTTACCCGTATTTATACTAGGGTTACTAGATAAAAACTTATCAAATCCGAGACAATTCTAGGACAACGGTGTCGGGTCTTGGCCATAGTAAAAAGTATCTTGTTTTTTTTATTTTTATTTGAAAATGAAAATGCAATTTATTCACAAATACATACTTTTATTAGATAGGTATCTACGCACATATTAAGCACTCCCCTCCCGCGCGCCGCCCGCACTCACAGGCAGGGCAGCCGTGTCATTCGTTGTTAGTTTATTGTGTTATAAAACTATAGGTTTTCAGAATTCGGGACAATAAGGTCTAATGACCGGACACCGGACAAGACGCAAAATGCCGGGACAATCCCGGATTTCCCGGCCATCTGGCAAGCCTAGGTTATACCACTTACTAGACTCGCAAGTTCACACTAGAGTGTCCTCATACATAAAGTGTTTCTAGAAAACGTTGGTTGTTTTTAATGTTAACAACTTCGAGCGACAATCTATTTCCAATCTTATGTGTACATTGAAAAAGTTCAAAGTCCCGTGTCGTCCTGCGTTATTATTATAATTTTCGCGCTATTGCGCCGTTGATGAACTATTTTGGTGACTATATAATAGTTTAATAGGCAAAACTTGACTGCCTCGGTGACGCAATGGTAACGTATGCGACTGCTGTGATGAGGTCTCGGGTTCGATTCCCGGGTCGGACCAAATGTTTGTAGGCTCAGCATATATTTCTTTTGGGGGTTCTCTGTGTATGTATTTACAAAAAATATATGTACAAAAGTATTCTATCAGTCAATCTAGCTTTTATAGTACAAGGTCTGTTTGGTTTGAAACTAGATGGCGTTGTGTTAAATGTCCAAAATATTATTCATTTATTTAAAATGTTTGCCTTTTATACGTGTGCCTACCCCTTTGTGTACATAGGCGTGAGTGTATGTATTTATATATTTATTATTCTTTTGTTCTAGTCGTTTATAGGTGGTGGGTGCGCCTCAATAGTGGGACAGACAATCATCGTACCATTCGACGTGCTCAGCCAGCATCTCATGGTCCTAGGGCTCGTCAAAGGGAAAGGGATGACAAGAAATACAGTAAGTGCATTCAAATAAGCTTCAGTCTTATCAACCAAGTTACTTTTCGCGTATCTTAAGCAAAAAGCGACTGCACGGATGGCGTAGTGGTTTAAGCGGTCGCCACGCCGCTTCCTACCACGCCGAGTGTTGTGGGTTCAAACCCCACATGGGACGACACTTTGTGTGATCCACAAATTGTTGTTCTGAGTCTGTGTGTTCTTTGTGTCCGTTTCATGTATCTTTGTAAAGTCCCCCGCGACACAGGATATATTCCTAATGCGGGAGTTGTCTTTTTAAATACAATAAATACAATTAAATACAAATATGGCGCACGTAAACATATATTTTTTTTATGGTTCAGCTGATGATAAGTGACTAGTGAGGATATGGCTAGGAAGGGAGTAAACAGTGAGATGACGCATGACAGAGTAGAATGGAAAAATCATACATACTGCGCCGACCTCAAATAAAATTGGGAAAAGGGTAGGCAGAGTATCAAACAGCTGTGCTGAGGTCTCGGGTTTGATTCCCGGGTCGGATCAAATGTTTGTATGTTCTGCAAATATTTGTTATGGAGTTTGGGTGTTTTCTATGTGAAATATGTGTGTATTTACAAAAAAAAAACTATAGGTATTCTATCAGTCAATCTAGCTTTCATAGTACAAGCTTTGCTTAGTTTGAAACTAGATGGCGTTGTGACAGATGTCCGAAATATTTAAGTAAAATATGGCGGAAACTTATACTAAAGATGTCTAGTATATGTTGACCTATCATGGTACAGAAACCTATACAAGGACAGTTCAAGTTATACTGTTCTGGTGCCTTCCCTAATAATCATAAATAATTTTTCCAGCAAATGAACCCGCTGGGCTTGGATCTGGACAAGCGCATGACCAAAGCTGCCTTGGCGAGGGAGGTGGCGGTGCGGGTGTACCAGCTGCACGGCCCGCTGGGCTACTACCGCGGCTACGGCGCCAGCCTGGCCGCTTACGTCCCCAACTCCGCCCTCTGGTGGGCGCTCTACACCGCTTACCAAGGTCAGTTTAGATCTTAACACTCACTGCTCTGCACCTATGGGTCGGTGCAAGCAAATGCCAATCCCTAAAATTTATAGACATATCTACAAACAAAGGCTGTAAGACCTTACTTTTAACCAAAATTGACAATTCTAGGTCAACCGGAAGTACCCTATAGGTTTTGGGTCGAAAACCTATATGGTAGTTCCCGTTGATCTAAAATCACGAAATTTGGCAAAAAGAAACGTCTTACAGCACAAATAAAGGAATATTTCCAAAAAATAAAAAAAGTTGATAATTAAGATAAATTTTGTTACTTACAAATTTTCGCGAAAATCTACTTAAGATCTGGTAGGTACGGAACTCTCGGCGCACGAGTTCGACTCGTACCTGACCGGTTTTTTACGTCTAGCATCTCTTACTGATCATGAACTCACGGTAAAGTGTTATGTCGGAATCGCACCAACTAAATCTACACGGTATTCCTTCCCATGTGAGTTTATTGCAAGAGACTCCAGTATACACTAGGAATAAAATCCTCGAGAAGCCCAATTTTGGCCTAGAGTTAGGGGAAAATTTAGTTATTGTTGGTCAAATAAAGTTTTAAATAAATACTTTTAACATCACAGCCATGCAAAGTCAAGAGAGAGAGCAGCTGCCCTTTTCTGTCTCTTCTGCAGTGCTGTTCTCTAAAAAACAGCCTTGCGTACAGCGCTGCCACATTCCAACTAACTTAGTTTGAAATTCAATGCAGCTGTATGCAAAGCTGTTTCCTTACAGAATAGTACTGCGGAAGGGAATATAATATGTATGTATTTAGAAATATATAAGTATGTTTATCAGCAGTCTGGTTACCGTAGGCTCAGCCTAGTTTGGGATCAGATGGCCGTGTGTGAGATGTGTGAAGTTATTAAGTTCTATAATAATAATAATTCACACATCTCACACACGGCTGTTGAGTCCCAAACTAGGCAGATCCTGTACCAACAGTAACCAGACTGCTAATAAACTTACTAATAAATTTCTAAATATATCATAGATAAATTACACCCAGACACAGCACCATTTGTTCTGCGGATATCATACTCATAAAACAATTATTTGTCCAGAGTGGGAATCGAACCCATGACCTTGGTCTTAGCAGTCAGGGTCACTAACCACTAGAGACCTGTCAAAGCCTTGGCATCATCCTTTAACTCTCCACATGCCACCCTCTGATATGCTACTACACTGTACAGTGCTTTCAGAGGTTAAACATTAAAAACTGTTTGTTTACAGATGAACTCCTTAAAATAGCACCCACGTGGATGTCTCATCTTCTCATCCAGTGCGTGGCGGGTACCTTTGGTGGGTTCACCACCACTATCCTCACAAACCCACTGGATATTGTGCGAGCTAGACTACAGGTAAGTAGATACACCTACAATGACGCCTATTGTCCCTTAAAGAGTAGGCAGAAGCGTGTCAAAAAATCACAATTCACCAGCTGTAATGTTGTGCTCCACCGGGCGCTTGGGTATTGACCGTCCCAGGGATGGCGAAGTAGTTTAAGCGGTCGCCTCGCCGCTTTCTACTGCGAGTGTTGTGGGTTCCTTTCCCAAATGGAACAACACTTTGTGGTTCCTACAAATTGTTTCTCTGGGTATAGTAGGTGTACTTTGTGGCCATTTCACATATAACAATAATAATAATATTCTACCACATTCACACAACGCCATCTGGTCCCAAACTAAGTAGAGCTTGTACTATGGGTACTAGACAACTGATATAAATACATATAGACTTTTTTTTTGTAAATACCTACATCTTATACATAGAAACAGCCAGACCAAATCAAACATTAAAAGTTGGTGATACAAATTTCCCGTTTGATAGTACAAAATCTGATTAGTTGAGAATGTGATAAACTGCGCATAATCCTTGTAATACAAAGTTGTTAACGAGCTTATCTCGGTAATACGGATGACTGCACGGATGGCGTAGTGGTTTAAGCGGTCGCCACGCCGCTCACTACTACGCTGAGTGTTGTGGGTCCGATCCCCACATAGGACGACACTTTGTGTGATCCACAAATTGTTGTTCTGAGTCTGGGTGTTCTTTGTGTCCGTTTCATGTATGTTTGTGAAGTCCCCCGCGACACATGATTTATTCCTAGTGCGAGAAAAAAATAGTTGTAGCTTGGCAAAGAACTTATGTTTTCAAGTTCTTATGAATAACAGATTAAAAAAAGAAATTGATCCTTAGAGTGTGTTAATATAGCATAGTAGACGATACTACATAAAGATTCAAATCTCCTTGGTCCACAGGTTGAAGGTGTGGGCAGTATGCGTCAAGTATTCAGGTCCCTCTGGGCGGAGGAGGGCCTCGTGGGACTCTACCTCAAAGGGCTGTCAGCCAGGCTGGTGCAGTCCGCCTGCTTCTCATTCTCCATCATACTGGGGTACGAGACGATCAAGCGAGTGGCTGTCAGTGCCGAGTATAGACAAAGAGTGCGCTGGTGAAAAAATATACGTGCACTAAAAAAATAGTTGTTTTTTAATTATTTACCCCTATTTGCTATTCTATTGCGCAAAATTTAGTACAGCGCTATCTACCGAAGACACGCTGAACTACATAGAAACAGCTGATCTTAAATCGCACTATAAAATTGGAAGATTTTACAAATTAATATACTGTATATTATATAATCCGTGTGGTGACGGATTAAGAATACAGTGTCACAATCCCTATTCATCCCGTGGGTGTCGTAAGGGAGAAAACTACGCAGGACAACAGCACTGCAGAGAGAAGAAAAACTTGTCACAAACCCTATACCAACCCGTCTGGCCAGCGTGGTATAGTAGGCCATAACTTCCTTTCTAAGGAGAGGCTTATGTCCAGCAGTGGACTATTAGAGGCTGTTGGTGATATAAAACAAATACCTAATTTTATAAACAGAATACTTGTTAGCAAGTTTTTATTCAAATGTTAAAATTCTGACATAGACAATTACCTTATAGAATCAAATTCTCAATTTCTGATACCGATACCGTGCCGATACCAATTAACATCAGGTGACCCATCTTCTCGTTTTGCCCCCTATATAATAAAAACAGTATCTCACTCGCACTATCTCCCGCACCCCATCTCCCTCACCCCATCACCATCTTCCACACCCCATCTCCCTCACCCTGTCTCCCTTACGCAATCTACCTCACCCCATCTCCTTTACTCTATTTCCCTCAACGTTATCCCTTTTAGATATTCTACCTTCTTGCCACCATTCTGGTGGACACGGCGATCCACACGTGGAACATAGCCACCTCTTTCTACGAGCAAATTATGCTCAAGCAGGAGATGGCAGAGCGAGACCAGAACATCTTTAGAACTCTCCTGGTCTGCCAGGCCAGGTACTATCCCGATCGCTGAACGACCTCCATCCTGCATAAGCGCAGGCCTGGGGGTGACAGATGAGGTCATCTGTTCCAGACGTCTTAAAAAATCTGTTATCGGATCCCTCTTATTTCAGGCGCAGTTTACACGCCGTGTGGTTTTATTTATTTATTTACAACTTTATGCACTTGTGTACACGGACGTGTGACGGATTAATTGTCCGTGCGGTGACGGATTAAGAATACAGAGTGTCACCACCCCTTTTCTTCCCATGGGTGTCGTACGAGCCGACTAAGGGAGAAAACTACGCAGAAAAACAGCACTGCAGAGAGAAGGAAAACTTCACAGAAACCCTATACCAATCCGTCTGGCTAGCGGCCTATGTCCAGCAGTGGACTATTAAAGGCTGTCGATGTTCATCGGCGGATTTAATACCCTGCCTACTTAGGTTTGAGTGAGTTCGATTCCGATACACCGCAAGCCCCGGTGGAGTGACCGCCCAAGGCCACCCCAAGGTGTAGTAAAAGAAATGCCATTAAATAATCACTATCATAGATTAAGTAACGATAACTATTAGTTATATAGGTATGTTATATAATACCGTATGGGTGCTAGAGAGTTGCGAGGTGCGCCGATAAGGGGCTTGCCTAGGGCGCTCATGATACTTAATCCACCTTTGCAGTCAAGTTCAGTCAACTTAAATTAAAATTTTGAAAGTATATGTAATTTGAAACTTCAAATACAAAAATATCTATACAAATAAATAAAATTGAAGTGTCTGTAATGTCAAAATAATAGGTTTTTTTCATGCTCACACGGTTATATGCACGACACCTGGTCTATGCCTAAAAACCTAAAATTTTTTGGCTCTCTATCTGTTTGTTCCGGGTAATCTTCTAAACGGCTAGACCGATTTTGATAATATTTTACTACCAGTTAGCTGTCTAAGTGAGAAGTAACTTAGGCTAGTTTTCCTCTCAGAAAAACCATTGAAAATTTTGCCCGGACCGGGATCGAACCAACTGGGGCAGCACTTTTTAAATTCCACGCGAAGAAAGTCGCGGGTACCAGCTAGTTTGTTATATAAACTAACTTGTGCTACTTAAGAACTTTGTTAGGTAACATTTAAAAAACGTCATAACTCACTAAGTTAACTGCACCTAGCTGGGTTTTTCCACCTTCTATAATTATATCCTCCTACTTTTTTGTTCTTTTTTTTTAAAAGGCAACTCCCGCATTAGGAATATATTCTGTGTCGCGGGGGAGTTTACAAACACACATGAAACGGGCACAAAGAACACCCAGACTCAGAACAACAATTTGTGGATCACACAAAGTGTCGTCCCATGTGGGGTTTGAACCCACATCACTCGGCCTAGCCTTCTTTCTGTCTTTATAAATACTAGAAATAAATGCTTCAACTTCAACTTTTGGTTAATGGCTTTGTGGTAGAAACCACAATTTCGCCAATGTCATGTATTTGAAAGACGAAATAAATGCTATTTAGTTTCTAGAACATTGTACGATAGTTATGTTACTCTTCTGGTATTTAATCGTAACACCGTTCTTTATTACGATATGTCCCATCTCTTAGGTTTACTTTTTTTTATTGTTACGTCTGACAGGTCCGCCCATGTCAGTCATATTATTTATAAAAAAAAAACAAACATTGATTCTAGCCTTAGATTTTAGCCATCTTATTTATACAATATTTAATTTCATAAATGAATGAGTTAATTTTTATTAATATAGCATGATAATAATAGTATGATTTGTACATAATCGTAATACCTATTGATAAATTTTAATGTGCCTACTACCTACAAAATATTTGAAGTGTGTTGACTTGTGTTTTGACTTAACATAGATCAATGAACTTGACACAATGATTACATAAGTAGATTACAGACGATGATTTGGTAAGGTGATATCATAAATTATTCTGCTGCTAATTGGACACGGATTCTTTAATAAATAATGTGTGTAGGTACAGCAAAAAAGAATCTACTTAAGTAATAAAAAGAAAATAGTCTAGGACTGATGTTCATGTATTATATCTATGACTGGTATGCATGGAATAATTTATTTACATAAATATATGGCATCGGTCAAGAAAAAAATTGCTCTTAACGGTATTATTACGTTTTAAATCGTTTAATATGCTTACTGTTTACTGTATAAAATTTAAAAAAAGCATTACCTACTTCATTGCGATTAAATCATTGTCTATAGTACATTATAAAATTACTTGCCCTGTCTGACTGATTCTGCCTAAACCGCTGGCACTACAAACTTGATATTTCGGCAGCTGATACATGTTATGTTGTAAGCACCCACCAAAACAGCATTTTTGCTAATATCATCCCTAAGGGAATAGAAAAAGGGATGAACGGTTGTATTTCAAAGCTAGAAACGAAATAAAAAATAATCCCTAAAGTGAAGCCGCGGGGAATAAGCAATTAAGCTATGTTCTACAAACTTTAATTTGTCATCTTTAGAATATAATATTTACTTTAAAAATGTAACCTCCTTGGTGCAAGTAAAAACTATAAAGTTAAAAAATTAAAAAACCCAAGATATACAAGTCATAGTTTATTAATCATATTTATTAATCACATCAATAATCATGTATTAATCCGACATTTTGTAGCGGCGGCACCCGCCACAGGCGCCAGGTTCAGGGGGCGCCAAAATCACAAGATAATACTGTTTAAATTTTAAAAAAAACTTGCTTAACAAAACGCCTAGAATGCAGCGCACGTTGAAAAATATATTATTGTTTTGTCCCAATCATGAAAAATGCCAACCATTACATATATATTTGTAAGTATTTTGAAGTTATGATAAAGCTTCTGCCCCGGCTCGAAAACATCTTAGAACCGAGACTGGGTGTCCAGTGCAGTGCAGTATAACTGGGCCCTCATTTTATAGACTTTATGCCACAACAGGTTAAAAAATATAGGTATACTAAACACCTTTTTTTTTTCCGTGCGGAAATCCCCTCGGATACCACCTATCGGTGGCATGTCGAACTCGAACCGACTAAAACCGCACGCCGTCTCGGGTACTAATAGCCGGGGAACCAGGTATACCCTAGAAAGGAAGTCCCTGGTGCCCCGACATACCTCGGGTCATCTACAGACGACCCTATGTTCCCTCTGCTCCCTGGAAGCGAGCGCGCTTCGCAACGCGCTCGCCGCCACCCTGGCCTGCTTCTGCTGGGGTGACAGATGGCCTCCTGTCACCCCACGGCCTGCGCTTATAGAGGACGGAGGTCATTCTGCGACCTCCGGCGCCTGAGTCGCCTGCGGTACCTGGCCTGTTCCCGGGCCTGGCGGGCCGGGAGAGTTCTAAGCCTCTCCCGGTCCCGCTCCGCCGTCTCCTTCGCGAGCATAACTTGCTTGCAGAAGGAGACGGCAGAGTTCCACGCACTCTCGCTCCGCACGATAGCCGCAATCAGTCTATCGAGCGAGGGAACTCCCACTCCGGAATACTAAACACCTAAAGCGTCATGTAGCTAGTTTTATTAATTTTCTAACTAAATTTATTAAAATATAAGTATACTAAAGAAATAAAGTTAGAAATGGCGTAATGGTTTAAGCGGTCACTGAGGGTCAATGGGTTCATAGGATATGGGACAACACTCTGTGTGATTCACAAATTGTTGTTCTGAGTCTGGGTGTTCTTTTCTGTTCGTTAATATACGCGACTTCGCCTAACATACATGAAACGGACACTACGACCAACCAGACTCAGAACAACAATTTGTGGATCACACAAAGTGTCGTCCCATGTAGGGTTTGAACCCACAAACCTCGGCGTAGTAGGAAGCGGCGTGGTGACCGCTTAGACCACTACGCCATCCGTGCAGTCATACTATATAGGTTTTTTTTCTCAAGTAGGTATTTTGTCATTATTATTTGAACAAATAATTATGTTAACGTAAAATAAAATGAATAGGTTGTGTAGTTGCTTGTTAAAACTATTTACCTACCTATATATTCCTGACTAGCTGGTACCAGCGATTTCGTCCGCGTGGAACTTAAAAAGAACTGCCTTAGTGGGTTCGATTCCCGGTCCGGGCAAAATTTTAAAGGATTTTTCTGGGAGGGAAAATAGCCTAAGTTAC